TTTTAGCTAGGCACAGACTGTCATGTTGATCTAGAAAATGATCTCTGAATTCATAGGAAATAGCCTCCTCATCAATATCTACGGCTGGGCTTAGGTTGTGCTACCACCTAGAAGCTCTGACAACTAAGAGTGGAATAAAGCCTTTACTGTTTCTATCCCATTAATTATGCAGCTTTATGAATGTTTTTCTTGCTTAGCAACTATTGCTAGATGCATTGGATATTAGGGCCCTAAGTTAGGAAGGTCACTTTGGTGATCTTTGACCACAGTTCTAAAGGAGATCTAAATAGTCCAAGTTTCCTTTAGGTTTTGAATATTTTTGTTTAATGGTTATCAGAACAGTAATTTTGTGTGTCTTAAAACATAAGTCTGCCTAAATAAGCATGACCTTCCCATTAGACTGATTGCAGTCTGTTCTTGGACTGGGTAGGAAAAGAACTATTGGAAAATTTCTTTAAGTCTTTTTCCAGTTCTTTGATTCTATTAGCTAGAATACTGTTTGAACACAAGGCAAAGTCCTCTGGCTATTACGTCTGAAAACATGAGACTTCACATTCGTGGCTTTCAGAAATTTGAGTGTCTCAAACCAGCCAAATTTGTTTTTTGACTTCCCACCCAGGATCTTTTTTCTATTTGATTTTGATTTAAATTATACATATGTCTTGGATGTAATAATGAGTACATAAGAAATAAAAGATCTACAAATATATTTAGAGTTCTAATACATCAGACTGTGGTTAGACTATCTCAGGCATTCTCATAAAGCTTCGAGAGAAATTAATTTTAAAAGTTATTTAGCAGCTTATGAAAATATTTCCAGGAGATAATGTATATTGCCATATGTTCCACTAAATGAATGTATCAGTACTTTAAACAATATTTTCAATTAGGGTTAACTGATATTCTTTTCTTTATTTCAATAAAGTCACTGGAATTCACATAAAGTTGGCATTGCTTTGGTCTCAGTATGGGAAAAAGGTTAAAATATAAGGAAGAAAAAATATTTAGGGGTCACTTGGAGACTTTTACTTAGATACTAGAGTAATTAATATGTTTTTAAAAATCAGTGTTAGATGGCATCTGCCTTCAGGTGCTGTATGTGTATCTTTCTATATGTTTCAAATTTTTCTATTTTGGAAAAGTGCACAAGAAGATGGAACTGACTGTAAATTTAGTTAAGCATCTAAGAAACTCACTGAAATAAATTTCTTAGTACTAACTTTATATTCCTCTTTTCTTATAACAAAATTGGATTTGAAATGGAAAACTACCTGCTTTCTTTGTGTTAATTAGAATAAGGATTTTGATAAGGATATAAGCAGGGAAAATTCCTACACTAAAGTCTGATATAAAGAATATCAGATTAATCTTTATAGAGCAAAATAGATGGAGAGAAGGTACACCAGGGATGTAAGGTTAGCCTGGAAAAAGAAGTTTAGATTATATTTATACACACATACACAAACCCCTCACATGCACACATGATGGGGCATTGTGGGGAGAGAGATGAATATATGTAGTCATGATAAAGAAATATTAGCACCTCCTCCCACAATCCATGTTGCCAAAATAATGATTATGACAACATCAATACCTCTATGCCATTTGCCTGGAAATCCTAAGCCTTCCTGGGTGAAGCCTTCTAGAACATTTGTTAAGATTTAACTGGAGTAGGGCTGACTTTTTATGATATTCACCCAGCCTTTGTGCTTATGTTGTTGACTTATTTGACTTATAAACCACATACACTCTAATGTACATTATTAGTAATGTTGGTTTATATGGTACCCTTTCTTCTAAAGAAATAAAAGAGCTTAGAAACTCATGTCATTTATCCTTAAAAAAAAAAGAAGAAGCTGGTTCAAATGCGCTGAATCTGTCTTTGGTGTTTCCTTCTTTCTCACGTACCCAGAATATCAGATCAGTCTTTATAGAGCAATCCTTTTTTTTTCTAAGCAGGTTATTTGCAGAAATTTTCAGCAATCCCATCAGGAAAAGTTCCATACTGCTCATTCTAACACTACCTAGATATTTATGACACTATCATCTCTATTCTGATGTTATTTCCTGAAGTATTCAGCATATATTCCCTGGCGAGGCTGCTCTTCTCCCTGTTCAGGCATCTGTCATGGTCTTGGTGTTCTTTCTGCTGTTTCCTCCACTCGAGTTGTTCTCTTCCTGTCTCTCCATCCAAATCCTTTCCATTCCTCCAACTAAAATCCTATCTCCTGTATGAAACCTTACCAGACCACTCCAGGTCATTCTAGACTCCAGTGTCACACTATGAATAGGTGGTTTATCTGCTCAGTGTGACTGATAAAACAGGAGGCCTGGTGAAGTTTAAACAAGACTAGGGTTCAATTCTTCTGAGTGGATTCTGACCATTGGACTATCTTTGTGCTTTTCTGCCATTTCTCTCACTCTCTTTTTTGACTTTTCTTTTTTTCCTCCATCTCTTTTAAATGTGAAGAGATTATCCTAAGCATGGATACACTTAGAAAGCCATGCTTTGGAGTGGGGTGTCCCATAGATGGCAACCAGAAGGCTAAAGCATATCAGACTTTTCAGAATCAAAATAGAACAAAATGAAAGTCCCAAATTCCACAATCAATCAAATAAAGAGAATTGAATCTATTATTAGGACAATTCCCGAAGGGTTGGCATATACAGACCAAAATTCTGAGAAGGTAAAAAAAACCCAAAACTGATTTAGTCAGTTGACCAAGGAAACTAATGACATGTTATAAAACAAAATAATTGAAAAACATGCATGGTATTGAGGTAGGGAAGCGAAAAGAAATGTAAACTTGGGAGGTAAAACAATTTAGAAACAATAAAGGATCTCTAAAGTTATGGAAAAGAGAGAAAACAACAGTTCCTGCTGAAGTCTGAAAAGAGGCAAGGTGAAATCTTTACTTTTTGCCTAGAAGAAACACTGCTTTTACAAAAGCTGAGACAAAGCCACCTGAAGTCTAGCTACAGCCACACATTGGGTTAACAGACAAGGCATCAAGAACACACTTGAAAGGGCAGATTCAACGATGCTGTTTCACCAAGGGCCCCATATTTGCAGAAGTGTTTTCTCCAATCATCCTGCTGTACCTTAAGGAGAATGAACAGAAAGCTTGGAGTGGCAAAGAACCTGAAAAAAAGTCCCTGTCCGAGTGCAGTGCACAAAGCTAAATGATAGGGTTCTTGAATTTAGTTCACTGACTCTATTTTGTCCTCAATCCAAGTTAAGTAGAAAACAAACATGGAGATCAAGGTAAAATGGTCTTTTTTTAAAAAAGGAAAACAAAGTTCTTCCAAGACTCCCTTTACATTCAGTAGTTGATGGTAACTTACAACTATGTTTTCAACTTTTTTTGTCCAGTCATCAACTCTCCTCCTCCCCACTCCCTAGCTTCCAGGGTCCACAGGCAACCTTTTGTAAGTCATGGGGCTGGGTTTGCTATGTATGGTCTTGCTTCAGTTTCTTTATTCTCTCTGCTGTTGTGTACTATACAGGTTTGTAGACACACCAGATAGAAAGAAGAAACAAAACCAGGAGATTATTCCCAGACTGTTTACCAACTACTTTTAAACTGTTGTTCACTACTGGTACATAAAATGATGAATGGTCTTTTATTTGTGAGTCTTTTAGAATAGAAATCCTTAGGGTGGGGTGGAGGGCTATGAATTTCTGGTTCTGGTTCTTTGATCTTCCATTGTCTCAGTTTCCTAATTTAATAGTGTTCAGAATTTTGTTTCCTTTTCTTCCTTAATTCTGTCTAGTGCAAAATGCCTTGAATATTTTTTATACCATTTCATCATAACAAAAAGAGAAGCAAGAAGGATGTATGTACAGTCATTTATAATCCTCCAGATCTTGCTTCTGGAATTTCTTAGTCTTCAATTGGAGTGTCTCAGAAACGCTATGAAACTATGCCGGTTCACAGAGCAACCCCACATAATTGATACCTGGACAAGGGAGGCCCATGGAGATTTTAAAAGTTGCTGCAAGATTTTAAGATCCTTTTACAATAATTTAGAGCCCCCTTGTTTATGGATGGGTTAGGGGTGGGGAGAAGACTGGAGATCTCTGTGACTGCCAGGTGCGTTTCAAGGAATTCTTACCTAGCTAGCATCAGAACTCACCAGACAGGAACCCAACTCTTCCCATTCTCAATTGAACACTTAATATACTTTCACTGAAATTTCAGAATGCCTAAGCAGACTCAAAGTTTGGACTGGGTCTCTATCCCAGTCCAGGATGACTCTTGAGATACATGATCTGAAAGATTCTGAGATCTTGGACTGTTTCATGGGAGTTTGTGGTCTGATTCCATGGAAAGTGTAAAAGACCTAACCCCATGTCCTTGAGCAGAGCCAAATCCCCATGGACCTTAGATTCATTCTACTCTCTTCACAGTTGACCCAGGGCTGAACTGACACAGCTGAAACGTTCTAGAGTACACCCACATCTCTGGTTGACCCTGGAAGCTAGGGAGTGGGGAGGAGGAGAATTATGAACTGGAAAGTCCAGGCCCGCACCCAGCAGCAACCCTCCCTACACGGCCGGATTCCATTTGGAACTTGGGGTCGAAGGAGCGCCTGGCGGTGTTCCCGGCCCCCTCCCCCGCTCCCGTCCACTGGCTCCAGCCCCGCCCCGCCCATTCGCCCGCCTCTGGCCCCGCCCCGCCCATCCTCCCGGCTCCAGCACCTCCCCGCTCCACCCTGTCCTCCCGTCCTCGCCACGCCCGTCCGCCGGCCTCCTCCCGTCGCCACGCCCCCGCCCCCGGGAGTGCGCGAGCCGTCTCCGCCCTCGCCCGGGAGCTGGGAGGCTGCGAGAGCGGTGCCGCAGTAGCCGCCTCAGCCCCAGCAGAGCCGCGCGATCCCTGTCGGTTGTCGCTCGGCTGACCCCGGAGCTCGGCTGAGGAGGCTGCAGCCGCAGCTAGAAGCCCGCTGCCCGCCCCTCGAGCCCGCCGCCGCCGCCCTCCGAGGGCGTCCCAGGCTGTGCCATGGTGAAGGTGACGTTCAACTCGGCTCTGGCCCAGAAGGAGGCCAAGAAGGACGAGCCCAAGAGCGGCGAGGAGGCGCTCATCATACCCCCAGACGCGGTCGCGGTGGACTGCAAGGTCCGTGGGCCGGGGAGGTGCAGAGGGTGGACGCTTGGCCCGCCGGGGGCCGCTCTGAGCACGGAGGTGGCGCGGTGGGCGGGCGCGGAGACCAGGACTCGGAGGGTGCGGGCAGAGCGGAGCTCTCCTTTTTCCCCGGCTGCTCCCGTTTCTTGTCCGGCTGCAGCTTCTCCTTTGTAAGAAGTGCGTGTGCGGGAAGCGGTGCCCAAACACGGGGCTGCGGGCTCGGAAGGCCTGGAGAGAAGGATTGAATAATTGCGCCGAGTTTGCAGTCGGTGCAGTCCGGGGATGTGCTTGAGGTCGGAACTGGGTTCGTTCGGCTTAGAGATCAGCGGCGACAGGCAGAAAACAACGAAAAAAACAAGAGTTCGGCACTTCCTCCTAGTATAGATAAAGTGCCTAAGATGGCTGACATCGTTACAAGCCTAAACCTCTCTTGCTTCCTACTTTCATTTCTAGGCTGAGCAGTACTTGGACTAAGTCCAGCTACTGCAAACCTTTTAATTTTAAAAGCATTTTCTTATCTCCTTTTTTCACGGGCCTTCGGTATAAGGCAGGTGAACTTCACGTTGGGGTCTGGAGATAGCAAGGGAGCTGGTGAGGGAGAGAGTAAGTTGAAGGCTGCTCAGAGTTGGTTCTGGCTGCTGATTTTATAGTTAAAACGAATATACCTGGCAAAGATGAGTAATTACTGTGTGGATGTTAGTGTTAAACCGATAGTTGGCTTTTAAATAATACCAGCATCTTTATGAGGACCCTCTCTGCGAGGTGAAATTAAATTAAACCTGAGAAACTTGTCCTATGTCCCTTACGCGTCCTTTATTTTACAAAATCCATTAGACCTAAGTAAAAATCAGGAGTGGAGCCATACATAATTTAACTAGCTTTTAGTGGATAACAATAATATTCATTTAAAGTAATACTGTAGTCATTTCAGAAGTTAACAAGGAAAGCCTCACAGCCTTTATCTACCAGAACTTGTTTAGGCTGCAAAAGTTCCACCTTGTAGAAATTAACTGTAGAAGTGAGCTTATTTTTTCGTTAGCATTTTTCAGGACCTATTACCAGGATAAACTTAGTTTTGACTTTAAAAATCCAATTTGTGTGCAGATATGAGTAATCAATATTATTTTTTATATGGTCTAATGAAAATTATTACTGAAAAATAGGCCACTACTATAAAAAAGTTTGAGAAATAATGTTAGTCTGAATGTGCCTGTACTTAGTTTTGCTAGGGAAATGTTCTACTTAAAAACCCAAACGTCAGGATTGATTTTTAAATGTCTGCCTTGCTTCAAGAAATAGAACAGAGAAATGATTCCGTAAAAGGATTAAGAGTTCTGTTATTGGAATTGTTTTCCTGAACCATTGCAAACAATCTTGGTCTTAAAAGAAAATGTTTGGAATGCAGAGTATAACTCCAGTAGCAAATTATTATCTTAGCTCTATGTTTATCTAACATTCATTGTCCCTAAAATAGTTCGGTAGCCAAATACCCTCTCACAACAAAGACAAATATATAAATAGATTTTAATCCTATTATATATATCTTTTTTAAATCCTATAAACAAATATAACTCTTCCATATAAAAAAAAGCATCAGGAGATAATGTCACTTCAGACAGCTTTTTCTCTTTCTCTGTAGTGAAGGAGATTTGAAGCTTGACAAAAATCAGAATTAATTTGCTGGTCAGCTTTAAATCTGACTTTTGACATTTTTTGTCATTTCTGAAATGGTAACCCTGTTTGGGAGTCTTTAGAATTTCTGACAATTTCAATGGATTCAAATTTTGTGGTCATAGCAGTTGTAAAAAAAGTAACAATTCATAGCTCTGTGCTTTGTTTTCCATTTGTTTTCCCAAATCCCCATATCTAAAGAAAAATACTGGAAGTAAGCTGTGAGGGCCAGAGTCTTTTGTAACCACACAGCAGTCGTCGATGAATTGGCAATACAAAATGACTAATTCTTTTTCTAGCTATAAGCTGAAAGACTTTTGTTCAGTGACAAAGGATTGCTCTACATTAAAGGTAGAATCCTTATAATCAGTCAGTCACTTAACAGTAAATGAAAACTTACATAGTAACAGACATTTGTGAAAGAACTGATCTCCTCATCTTAGAACTTGAACAGTGATTAATTACGTAATGTGCTCTGGCTCCTTGGGGTGAAGACTATGTGATAACCAGAGTTTGCCTGGATTCTGCACAGAATCAGCCTTCCTGTGTTTGCTTAGGGCATTTCCTTTCCTGGTTGGTTGAGAGGATTCAATAAAGCTAGAACTGAAGTTTTTAATACCTTCAGCCCTCCTAGATCACAGTATCCCAAAGACACTGTTTCTCAGAAGGTACTACTAATGGTCACCTGCCCTGGTATTACCTGGGCTTCTGGTTTTAAATGCAGTTTCTGCTGCCTTATGCCACAAGAATTCTGATCACTCCAGTTGGGTAGCTTATGTAACACACACTCCAGTACTTGTGCACTGCTCCTGTGTTTTGCTATTTATGTAGCTCTTTTCTCGCTACAGGGTGAGAACCCTCTCGAAGCCCCATTTTTCCATGTTGTCTTTTCAGTAGCTTTCAATCCCAGCAGCCATATCTATTGATTATAGTATCTCAGCTAGCTTGCTGTTTATTATTATTTTCCTACATTTTTCTCCTTAACTGTTTTTACCTTCCTCTACCTCTCAATTGGCACAGAGCTCTTAGAGGTGTAGAAACAGTGAAGAGTGCAATCTATGTTTTGTGTAACAGATGAATTTGAGACTATGTGTATATTTTAGGTTATAGGCAGCAATTTATTTGTGCCTGTAACTTTGGAAAATTGTTATGTATGTGCAAATATTCTATCTTAATATATTAAGATAGAAGTTTTAGTTTTGTCATTAAATAGCTGCTTGATCTTGTGCTTAAGTTTATAGTTTTTCTTATCTGTAAGACGAGAGGATAGGACCAGATGGTCTGGAATGGCTCTTACAGTTTTAAAATTCTGTGAAGATGCTAGGATTGCATAATTATATTTGGCAAGCATTAAGTTTTTTTTAATTGTGAAAAATAACAACTTCCTCTTCACCCTAACCAGACTGTTCCCTTTCTTCTTCCCCATGTACAGCATGTTACATTCTTTCCTCATATTAAGTAGCAGTGGGTCAAAGAGAGAGAAGGTGGACGGAGGTAATTATACAATAAACCAAATTTTCTTTTGAGTTACCTTACTATAGAACAATAGTTGTCAACAGCTAACTCTTTGTTGTAATGCCCAATTATGGAATACCTTTCCCAGTATGAAAGCTTAAGTTTGCTTACAGGTGTTTTGCTAATAGTGTCGCCTCTTCTCTACCTTACCTTAAGAAGTTAATTGTAGGCCTTCTTAACAGGGAGAAAAAGTAACGTGCTCATGTAGGAGAGAAGGTGGGGCAGGATGGATGTGTGAGAAAAAATGAAGGGCCACTAACCTAGTAAGTTCAGAGTTATCCATGTCAGAATGGCTATTTGGACCCTATTTCTTTACACTTTCTGACATTTCGCATTTGCATAAACAGGACTGAAGGGTTTGGTAATTTAGCTTTTTGGTTGTGGTATGGTCACTTTTTTGTTTTTTGAGTGAGCAGGAAGAAGGAGGAACATGTTGACCTTTAGAGAAGGGATTGGGAGCTTGGTTCTCTTTGATGAAAGTGCATGTCATTACCTAGTTGTGTAATTTAGTGTGTGTAAACACTGGCCTGTAAAAACTTTACAGTCATTACATTTTGATTCTGCATGAGGCTGTTTATATCTGCAGTGAGGCTTTAGTCTGGAAGATAATTAATTGCCCCTGTGCATGCCAAGTGACTTGGCAAGAACTGTGTATACATGCTTCATAGGACGCTCTGCTGCAGAGGGTGGACAAGGTTACATATTGTGCAATGGGAAGACAGGTTACCTGCCTGGGGTATTCCCAGTGTTCCCTTAAATGTATTTTCTCTATAATAGACAAGCAAGTATATTATCCTTGGCTAAATCATAAGCCTATAAGATGTTATAGTATTCAATTCTACGATATAAGTGAATAGAAGTATTTTTAACCAGAAATATCTCTTGGAACACATGCTGCAGGCCTATTTAAGTTATTATAGAATTTAACTAAAAGTTTTCGATATGTATTGCTAGAATTTGACTTGCTTTAAATGTTCGTAAGTTGTAATTGTGGGACATTTTATTTGTCTTGTTCTCTTATGCCATAACTTAAATACCTGGAGTGTCTATTTAAAAGGCACTTTCTTTTTTCAAAAGGAAATATTTTTCTGAATTCATATTATAAACTCAACTGCCTGAACTGCTTTGTGTATCTTAGTGTCAGTAGAGAAATATCCAGAAAAAAATCTGTCTTTTCAAGTATAACATTGATGAATTCACCCTCTTAAACTTTTTGATAAACTTGGCACTTTTTATTAGAGTTTAGACTGAAAGAGTTAAGGACTTTGCCATCAAAGTCCTTTTTCAGGACTTAACGGTTGCCTATAAAATAAAGGATTTGACAATTCTGAATTTCTGAATGAGGTGGCTTTTGTTTAAATGATGTAGAAAATAGTAACAAGAGAAAAATGTTTTCAAGAAGCTTCTGTGTAAAGAGTTTTTTCCTGGCTCTTTGCACAAAGTTTTAACAATGAAAGTGTTTTGTGGGGTAGAACCCTAAAAGGTGCAAATTAGAAATTTTATTACAGATTTGACCCTAAGAACATCATAAAAAGATCATTTTATTTTGATTTTCCCCATAAACCAGTATTTATGATACATATGTTATTTTTAAGAGACCTACAATATAATCCTAGCTATCAGCAATTGAATGAACAAAATTATTTTAAACAATTGAAGATTTTTTAAAGCTCTTCAGTTGATTAGAGGGGAAATAAAATATGGAGTATTTCTATAGTTCTATATTTGGGGAAAAAATCAAGTAAGAATAAACTTCTTTTTATTCCTAAGCAGAAGAATTTCAGTCTGGAATTACAGAAATGAAAAAA